CATTGTTGTTTGGTGGGCCCGGGCTGGATTCGAACCCGCCACCTTAGGTGTATGTGGCTGGCGCCTTAGCCACTTGAGCCACAGGCTCTGAGCCACCTTGTTTTCTAAAAACTGCACATAACACTTTTGACATGGAAAATATCTGGGATTTAGAGAGAATATTGCGTAGAGCATACATAAATTTTAACAAAATTTGGTAGTATTGACAAAATGCAAAATCTAATTCACTAGTTCCAAGTTAAGCCTGCGAGTCTGCGTTTTTAACGAATGCCCAGGTGATGCTGATGATTGTATCACATTGGAACTCTAACATTTTCCCACCTTCGCACACGCAGTACCATAGCATTCTTATTGCTTCCCTTTGTGAAACTGCTTCTTTTATGGCTCAGGCCAATTCTCTACCAGCTAAGCAAGGAACAAATCTAGCTTGGGAAAGCGCTATAGACAGGATTTGGCGCCCAAGGTCCAATGCTTGGCTTCCTATTGGTCGGGAATGACGTCACTCGGACAAGGCGGCTTTAATTGTGACGTCTCCGGCGGCGGCTGGTTAGTAACAGAAGGAGGCGGGAGCGGAAGTGGGCAGCAAGAGGGCGGGGTGGGTGGCGGAAAGGGAGGGCGGGGGAAGTTATTACAAGGCGCCCTCTTCCGCCGCTAGGGAGCGGAAGTTGCGGCCCGGTTGTGTCAACCCCGGGGCTGCAAGCTGAGAGTGTGGCTACGACAGGACAGTGACCATGGGCGGGAAGAACAAGCAGCGGACGAAAGGGAACCTTAGGGTGAGTGGCTAGTGGCTCGGCCGACCGGGGTCCTGGTCTCGCAGCAGCTGGCTCTGCCCTGCGCGTGGCTGGAAGGTGTGTGGAGCGCGGCTGCTGGGAAGCGTGTGTTTGCGAAAAGAGTGACCTCTCTGTTGTGTGTGCGTCCCTGAGGGCGGGTTGGAGAATTGTGAGAGAAAAGATGTTCCATGCCAGAGCTCTCCCCCTCCGAGCACACACCCACAGTGTTCATTAAGAAATGATTCGGTGACAGCTTAAACTGGAAGGTTACCTGGCGGAGGTAGCCGTGTTGATGGGGGGAGGGTGGCGCTAGGAACAAGGGAAGTTAAGTGGGAGGAAGTTAAAGTGAGCCCAGTGTGCAGGTTGCTTCAGATCATGTCAGTCCCTCCTTTTCACAAAACCTACAGTGGCTCCCCACAGCCCTCCGGATAAAGGCCAAAGCCCTAGGATGGTGTACTTGGTTTATGTGGTCTGCCAGTCGCTCCTTTCCATTTCCAGTTCCATCTTCAACTCCGACCTCTTGGTTCACTCCATCCAGCCACATTGACTTCTTCATCATGCCTTGACCTTGCCTGGCACATTTCCAAGGCTCTTCCATTATGTGGCTCCAAATTTTGCTCTAGACACCTCAGTGAGGTTTCCCATGATTACCTATTTTAGCTCTCTCCCACTCCCTGTTTTTTTGCCCTGCTTTATTTTACTCTACTGCATTTATGACTTCTAAATATACTATATAATTTACTGTCTTGCTTCAATAAGATGTAAGTATTTTGAAGGCAGGTGTTTTCATCTGCTGCTATCATCTTTGGAATCTAGAATAGGGACTGGGATGTAGAAGAAGGTCACTAAATACTTTTTTGAGAAGGCCTTGAAGTGGATGCATGTAAAGCTATGTGACTGGGAATATGTTATCATGGTGATTTTTTTGTGGTGTTAGATTTATTATAAGAATGCTTTCCCCCGTTTCTGATCTAGTTAATTTTAGTGATTTGAGTTCCGTGTTTTCTTAGATCAATCACTTAATCTGTTTTGGAAGATAATAATAATACCAGCAGTGATAGCAACTTGTTTTGTTAAGTATTGTGGTAAGCACTTACGTGCATTGTCATTTAGTGATTTTTATAAAAATGTTATCCAGTTTTTTTTATTTTTATTTTCTTAAGACAGAGTCTTACTATGTCGCCCTTGGTAGAGGGCCACCGCTCACAGCAACCTTAGACCCCTGGACTTAAGCAATTTTCTTGCCTCAGCCTCACCAGTAGCTGGGACTTCAGGTGCCTGCCACAACGCCCAGCTATTTTTTGGTTGCAGTTCTCTTTGTTTAGCTGGCCCAGGCTGGGTTCAAACCCACAAGCCTCGGTGTATGTGGCTAGGGCTGTAACCACTGTGCTATGGGCACCCAGCCCCCATGTTTTATTTTTTTAAACTTAATATGAGGAAAAGTTGCAAGGATCTTAGAGTGACAGCTGTACGTCAATTCTTTCTCGACTTACTCTTAATATCTGGTAACATCTCTTTCTTACAATTTATGTTATCTTGCTAAATTCTATGAGAGTTAATTGCAGAAATGAGGATTCGTAACTGCTAAATAATTCATCTTGTGTCTTTCAAAAACAATGCCATTCTTTTTTTTTAGAGACAGAGTCTCACTTTGTTGCCCTGAGTAGAGTGCCATGGCGTCGCAGCTCACAGCAGCCTCCAGCTCTTGGGTGGCAATTCTCTTGCCTCAGCCTCCCAAGTAGCTGGGACTACAGGTGCCCACCACAACACCTGGCTATTTTTTTGTTGCAGTTTGTTCAGGGCTGGGTTCGAACCTGCTACTCTCGGAATATGGAGTCGGCACCCTACTCACTGAGCCACAGGCGCCGTCCAACAATGCCATTCTTCTATGTAATCATGAGCAATTACAGCATACAGAAACTTTAACTTTGATATAATACCATAATCTAGTATCCAGTCTTACATTTAGGTTCTGTCATTGTCAATAATAATATTCTGTATGATTTTTAAGATCTGCCATCTTAAAGAAAACATTTGGGCTCCTATCAAGGATCACTCATTCCATTTAGGCTCCTTGATTTAGATAGTTTGCAAGGGCTTCTTGGTAGGGGAATAGGGAAAGCAGTGCCATATGACAATTTGGAAGAGTCTGGGCTGATTATTTAGCTTAATTTAGATTTGTCTAATTGTTTCATTATGATTAGATTTAGTTTAAACAATTTTTGGAAGGAATGCCTCATAGATTATGGATCTTTCTTAGTGCAGCACACCAGGACACATGATACCTATGTTTGTCCCATTATTGGTGTTATTAGTTTGATCACTTGGTTAAGGTAGGATCTATTGAAAAGTTAACTTTTTCTATTGGCTAATAATAAATAATATGCTAGTTTGAGGCTATGAATGTCCTGTTCCACTACCAACTTTCACCTAATGGTTTGAGTACCCTTTGATGATTCTTACTGGAATCAATGATTATTTTGGTGGTTAAAAAATTTAATCCTGACAGTAACTCAAGTAATAAATAAGTTGTTATTCTTATCTCAGGTTAAAGATGATGGAACTGAGGTTTAGAGAAATGAACTTGCCTAAATTTATGTAGCCAGAAAGTTGCAGAATTAGGATTTGAACTTCAGAGTAGCAGTCATTCATTTGACAGACAACTTTGATATTGGATGCCATGTGTTCAAAGATGATAGGCAAATGTCTGCTCTTCTTGAACTAGTAGTTTGATGATAGAGGTAGATAACAGGAAGTATTGTAATATACTAAAGAATTATGTAGGATGCAGATGTGAGCAGAAAGAATGTGGGAGAACAGAAAAGAATGGCTATTGACTAAAGGAAGGCAAGTGTTGCAAGCTGAGTATTTTGAAGTAGTTTATCAGGCAATGAATAAGAAGGAAATTTTTCAGGTAGAGAGAAATGATTATACAAAGATCAAATTGTGAAAGGGTAGAACATATTCAGAAAGCCTTGAATTCAGTTTGGTACTAGAGCATAGATGATGGCCGCATAATTAGGAGAAGGAAGAGGGAAGCCAGGGAAGAGAAGGAAAGAGTGGGTGGCAGGATGTAAGACCTGGAAATTGAGGTCAGATGGTGAAAGATCTAAGTTTTCTTCAGTTTGTCTTTAAATTGTAGGCTCAGGATTGCCATGTCACATATCTCAAGATGCCAGGCACAAAAGATTGTAGACAGAAGTAGGGGTGGTGTAAAAAAAAAAATTAAATGCTAGAAATAGAATCAGTGTTCTTGATTTTTACTGAACTATGGGTATAAGCATCTAACATAAAAAGATCCTAATAGTAATGGCTTTTTTTTTTTTTTGAGAAATAGTAATGGCTTTTTTTTTTTTTTTTTCTTTTTTTGTCTCTGTCACCATGGGTAGAGTGCCACAGTGCCACAGCTCTCAGGAACCTCAGTCTTGAGCCCAAGTGAACCTCTTGCCTTAGCCTGCCAAGTAGCTAGAACTACAGACTCCTACCACAATGCCCTTAAGTTTTAGTAGGGGGGTGGGTGTCTGGCTCTTGCTCAGGCTGGTCTCACTCAGTTCAGACTGCTAAGATTACAAGGCATGAGCCACACACACAGGGCAGCCTTGCAACTACATTTTGAATTCAAAGTAAAAGATACAATTAGTGCATTTCAAGATAATTTGTTACTTTAAATTAGAAACTGGATTACCTTATCTTGTGCTTCTAGTTATCACTGTCAGTGTCAGTATTTCAGTTTAGGTCAGAATTCAGCCTCAACTTCTTTAACTTTTAGCAATAATTAGTTTGTTATTTTGTTTCATAATAAAACTTTTAAAATGAGGTTATAGAAAATTCCAGTATGGCTCGGCACCTATAGCTCAACCGGCTAAGGCGCCAGCCACGTACACCTAAGGTGGCGGGTTCGAATCCCCAGCCCGGACCTGCCAAACAACAATGACGGCTGCAACCAAAAAATAGCCGGGCGTTGTGGCGGGCGCCTGTGGTCCCAGCTACTTGGGAGGCTGAGGCAGGAGACTCGCTTGAGCCCAGGAGTTGGAGGTTGCTGTGAGCTGTAATGCCACGGCACTCTACCCAGGGGGACAGCTTGAGGCTCTGTCTCAAAAAAAAAAAAAAAAAGAAAATTCCAGTATTCTGATATCATATTTAGTTTTTAGAATTTCTATTGAAATTCACAACCTTCCTTTGTAGCTCTTTATTCATGTACTAAGAAAGGCAGAGAATAATGTTCGTTGATTTTAATAATTTTTTTTTTCTCACTCTGATGCCTTGGGTAGAGTGCCATGGCATCATAGCTCACAACAACCTCAAACTCTTGGGCTCAAGCTATCCTCTTGCCACAGCCTCCTGAATATCTGAGAGTACCATGCCACATTCTAATGAAATTTAAAAATAGGGAATCTTTTTTTGAATTAGTCTTAAATTCTATAGTTTGAAAAAAAATGTAATTTAGGCCATCATTTTCATTTTAGGTTCCTTAATTCAGTTTAGAAGGAGAGCTGTATATTCCTTGTCAAATGAGTGTTCCAAACACAATTTTACTAATAAGTATGAGCAATTTGAATCACCTGTTTGAGTAACCCTCTGGATAATAGTCTTATAGAAAAATAAGAAATAGGTGCGCTTAGATGGATTATAAAGTCATCTTGGCGGTCAAACTGTAGGCATTTTTCTCTGAGATGACAATGAATAAGTTAATGTCTTTCTGCAGTTCAAATATTTTTTTTTTTATCTGGAAGAACTAACTCCCTAACTTTTAGTATCAGGAAACTACTGTATTATGTATCAGTTGAACAAGTCACTGGCAGTGGTTCAAAACGAAGGCGTGTATCTTATTTCCTGACCCTTGTGTTGATTTTTATGGCCATAATAATGTAATTTTAGCCCAAAGAGGTTAGGCTAGGTGAGGCTTTGGGGATCTGCCATCAAGAAGCAGATATCCTTAGGCCAGTCCCATGGCTATTCCTTAATTATTTGTTGAGTGAACTGATGAATGAAAAGATGAGATCCATTTATAAGTTAATTTTACATCATTACACAGTGTATGTAATCTTCATATGAAAGTTGGAAATAAATGCTGTTTTATAAATTTTTTAATGACAATTTTGCCAGGTGATTTCATATGTAAAATTTTATTCTATTTCTTTAAAATTCTGTCATGGGCTATTATATTGATATCATGATCCACTAATGCAGTGGTTCTCAACCTTCCTAATGCTGCGACCCTTTAATATAGTTCCTGTGGGTCGCAACCCACAGGTTGAGAACTGCTGCACTAATGGATTGTATCCATGGTTTAAAAAACATTGTTCTAATGTTCAAGAAACCAGGAAATAGCTCCCGAAATCATCATTGATAAATTCTTGGGTGACAAACATTGATCTGTGGGAAACATTAAAATAGATGAAATCATAGGCTAGAAAAAATTAAAAAGTACTCAGATAAAAGCTTGTTCTGATCATGGGAATTGTAAAGGAATTATAAAGTTAATTTTGAATTCTTTCTGGGCCCTAATACTTTTTCTTTCTGACTTTCTTACCAGCCTTCAAACAGTGGTCGAGCTGCAGAACTCCTTGCCAAAGAACAGGGAACCGTGCCTGGATTTATTGGTTTTGGAACATCTCAGAGCGATCTAGGCTATGTTCCTGCTATTCAAGGAGCTGAAGAAATTGACAGCCTTGTAGATTCTGATTTCCGAATGGTGCTGCGGAAGCTTTCTAAGAAAGATGTCACAACAAAATTAAAAGCAAGTTTTCTGTTTTTTGAAAAATGATCAAAAAGTTCTATTGTTAAAATGTTATTAGCATATTCTGTGTAATGAAATATGAACGGTAATTAACCAGTAAGTTTTTTTTTTTTTACAATTGTATTTTTTTCTGACACAGACTTAAGCTTCATTGATTCTTATCTTCTGGATTATACATTAATTTGTTGCATTAAACTTAACCACTTTGGAATTTTGGCTGTTTAGTTTTAGGGAATATAATTTTGACCCAGAATTTTATTTTGTTTATTTATTTATTTGAAACAGTCTCATTCTATTGCCTGGGCTAGAGTATAATGGTATCATGATAGCTCACTGCAGGCTCAATTTTGGATTCAAGTGACCTTCCTGCCTTACCTTCCCAAGTAGCTGGTATTATAGACATGTACCACCATGGTCAGCTAGTTTTCCTAATTTGTATAGAGATATAGAGAAACTTTCCTAATTTGTTTCACTCTTGCTCAAGCTGGTTTTGAACTCTTGTTCTCAAGCAGTCTCCCAGCTTGGCCTCCCAAGGTGTTAGTTTTATACCTGTGAGCCACTATGCCTGGCCTTTATCTATAATTTTATGTGAGATTTTTTTGTTGTTTATATATATTTTATTTTTTTACTGCAGTAGCTTATGAAGGAACTCTGCAAATAGAAATAATGTATTTTCCCACTAAATAAAAGAGAAGCTCTAGAACAGAATGAATACAGTCAATAGCCAATATTTTGGTTGTTAATCCTTGATAATGTTAATTATTTTTAGGCAATGCAAGAATTTGGAACCATGTGTACAGAGAGAGACACAGAAGTTGTAAAAGGAGTTCTTCCATATTGGCCAAGAATTTTCTGCAAAATTTCACTTGTAAGTATTAAAACTTTACTAATTTATTTCTGTTGTATTTTTTTTTTGGTTGAAGTCATCATGGGGGCTGTTAAATTTATATATAATTGATTTTTCTTAAGGGTTATAAAATGGTTACATTGTTATGCAGATTGCATCAGGTTGAGTTGTGATAATTGTAAGGAGTCTGTGTTTATTAAATTAGGTTATTACTAGAAATGTACTCAGATGCTTGCTTTCTACTTGTAATGAATTTTGGCAATTATTTTATTCCTTTGTATATTTGCTGCAGAAGAGTGAGAGTGAATTACTTAATTACTCAAGACTTGGCCTTGAATCTGTCTTGAATACAGCCTTATCTCATTGGGGAAAAAGGGAAAAGGAAAACTTATTTCATATAATTTCTTCTTTAGAAAACCCTACAATTTTGATATTTAAAATATAAATTCAATTTTGATCTGTACACAGGTGAATTCTTATATCCAGAAATGTCTGTGTTTGTTTTTAGGGGCTAGAGATATTTTAAACCACATTTATATTTTCAATAGGATCATGACCGCCGGGTTCGAGAAGCCACACAGCAAGCTTTTGAAAAACTTATCCTTAAAGTAAAGAAACAGTTGGCTCCCTATTTAAAAAGTTTAATGGGATATTGGCTAATGGCTCAGTGTGATACTTATACACCAGCTGCGTTTGCAGCAAAAGATGCATTTGAAGCGGCTTTTCCTCCAAGCAAGCAACCAGAAGCCATAGCATTTTGTAAGGATGAAATTACAAGTGTAAGTTCTTGGAACCATTCTAAATCTGTGGTTTTTTCTTCATTATTTAAGGATTATAAGCATACTGTAATGACAACTCCTTTACTTGGGATTGTAGGGGAATCAGTAAGTGAAATATTTCCAACTGAAGGTTGTTTTTTCAAAATGGTGTTTAACAAAATTAACATTTCAAATTGGATCTTTCTATAATAATTAAATATCCTTTTTAAATTTATAAGTCTTAATTTATTATACATCTAAAAAATTAGATATATGCTTTACAGTATATAATCTAAACAGTGAATATATGTAAAAATTAATCTAAAATTATTTTCTCTTATAATTCCATGTCAATATATATGTATCACATTCCTTTTATTGGCTTTCTGGTATTATTTTATATGGATGCACAATAGTTTATTTAACCCCTTTTATGTTAATAAACTATTGGATTTCCCCCCAAATTTTATTATAACACATGATGCTTCAGGGAACATTCATAAACAAATAAATCTTTTCATACTTTGTGAGAGTGATAGTTACTAGAACTTATAATAACTATATGTTGAGTCAAAGGACAAGAACATTAAACATTTTTATAGATATTGTTAAATGGCCTTTCAAAAGACCAAACAAATACATATTCCCATTAACAGATAAGAAAGTTTCTAGGCTTGACACCTGTAGCTCAGTGGTAGGGTACCAGCCACATACACCAGAGCTGGTGAGTTCAAACCCAGCCTGAGCCTGCCAAACAATAATGACAACTATAACAAAAAAAATAGCTGGGTATTGTGGTGGGCACCTGTAGTCCCAGCTACTTGGGAGGCTGAGGCAAGAGAATTGCTTAAGCCCAAAAGTTTGAGGTTACTGTGAGCTGTGACGCCATGGTACTCTACTGAAGGCGACATAGTGAGACTCTGTCTCAAAAAAAAAAAAAAAAATACCTGCACCTTTCTCCACTCACAAAAATGGATTCAAGATGTAAAAAAGGCCTAAATTTAAGGCATGAAGCAATAAAAATCTTCAAAGAAAGCATAGGAAAAACAATTGAAGATATTGGCCTGGGGAAAGACATAAAGAAGACTTACGTGGCAATTACAACAACAACAAAAATAAACAAGTGGGACTTAATCTGAAAAGCTTCTGTGCAGCTAAGGAGATAACAACCAAAGCTAATTGACAACCTACACAATAGGAAAGGATATTTGCATATTTTGAATCAGACAAAAGCTTGATAACTAAGATCTATAGGGAACTCAAATTAATTCATGAAAAAAGCCAACAATTCCATGTATAAATGGACAAGAGACATGAATAGAACCTTCTCTAAAGAAGGCAGATGAGGCTCGGTGCCTGTAACTTAGCAGCTAGGGCATCAGCCACATACACCCCAGCTGGCAGGTTTGAATCTAGCCTGGGCCTGCCAAACAGTAATGACAACGATAACTAAAAAATAGCTGGCTGTTGTGGTGGGTACCTGTAGTCTCAGCTACTTGGGAGGCTGAGGCAAGAGAATTGCTTAAGCCCAAGAGTTTGTGACAGCATGGCACTCTACCCAGGGTGACAGCTTGCAACTCTGTCTTAAAAAAAAAAAAAAGGATGAATGAATAGCAAACATACGAAAGAATGCTCATTGTCCCCAATTATTAGAGAAAGGCAAGTCTAAACCACCCTGAGGTATCATCTAACCCCAGGGAGAATGGCTCACATCACAAAATCTCAACTGCAGATGCTGGCGTGGATGTGGAGAGAAAAGAACAGTTTTACACTGCTCGTGGGACTGCAAACTAATACATCCTTTTTGGAAGGAAGTATGGGCAACCCTCAAAGAACTCAAGCTAGACCTCCCATTTGATCCTCTAATCCCATTACTGGGCATCTACCTAGAAGGAAAAAAATCCTTTTATCACAAGGAGACTTGCACTAGACTGTTTATTGCAGCTCAATTTACATTCACCAAAATGTGGAAATAGCCTAAATGCCCACCAACTCAGGAATGGATTAATAAGCTGTGGTATATGTATACCACGGAATACTATTCAGCCATTAAAAAGATGGAGACTTTACATAGTTTGTATTAACCTGGATGGAAGTGGAACATGTTATTCTTAGTAAAGCATCACAAGACTAGAGAATCATGAATTCTGTGTACTCAATTTTGATAGGACAGTTAATGACCTAGTACACAGTAGGGGGTGGGGGACGGGGAGAGCAGAGAAAGAGAGAAGGAGGGAGGTGGCTGGGGAAAAGGAAGAGCAGAGAGTAGGAAGGAGTGAGGGGGGTGGGAGAAGGAAAAGCAGAGAGAGGAAAAGGGAGAAGGGGGTAGGGGTCTCCGTGTGTGACACCTTTTGGGGGCAAGACACAAGTATGAGAGGGACTTTACCTAACAAATACAATCAATGTAACCTGGTTTCTTTTACCCTCAGTGAATCCCCAACAGTAAGATAAAAAAAAGTTTCTCCATAATTGGCCAACAACACTTCAGCCGTATGTTTTGGATGAAAAGTGATGAGTCGTAACTTTTTGTGGCTATCAGTGGGTCAGTGTGTCTATGTCTAGTAGTGTCTGACTTCTTCCTTTCTCATTTGCTATTACCAATATATGGACTGGAAAAAGCAGACAGCAGAGTTTATTAGAATTATACTAGGAAAGAATAGTAGGCTGGGCACGGTAGCTCATGCCTGTAATCCTAGTGCTCTGGGAGGTTGAGGCAGGTGGACTGCTCGAGCTTAGAAGTTGAGCTCAGCCTGAGCAAGAGCAAGACCTCATCTCTAAAAATGGACGGGCATTATGGCAGGTGTCTGTAGTCCCAGATACTTGGGGGGCTCAGGCAAGAGGATCGCTTCTGCCTATTAGTTTGAGGTTGCAGCTATAGTTCCAGCTACTTGAGTGGCTCAGGCAAGAGGATCACTTCTGCCCAAGAGTTTGAGGTTGCTGTGAGCTATGATGCTATGGCACTCTACCCAGGGTGTCAAAGTAAGGGTTATCACCAAGATGTGGAAACAACCTAAATGCCCATCAGCTCAGGAATGGATTAACATACTGTGGTACATGCACACCATGGAATACTTTTCTGCCATAAAAAGATGGTGACTTCACATCTTTTGTAATATCCTGGATGTTGTTGAAAACACTTTTCTTCTTAGTAAAGTGTCACAAGAATGGAAAAGCAAATATCTAATGTACTCGATAATAATATGAAGCCAATAGACAGTCCAGTGCAAGACCAAATGGGAGAAAAACTCATTTCAATTCAAGTTGGGGGGAGGGGTAACGATGGAGGGGGAGAGGGTTAGGGTGCTCTCACTGAAAGGGCACCAGGTGGGTGGGGGGCATAACCACAAGACGACTCCACGTCACAAAATCAAATATTTTGACCTCGTGTTTATACCCTCACAGTAACCTGAAATAAGTTTACTTAAAAATTAAAAAAAAAAAAGAAAGAAAAGTGGATGAACTAGGATTGTGGTGGGGAGGAATTGAGCATTTAAAAAAAATTCATGCTTGCTTTCATTGCCTTAATTAGTACTCTTGTGTTTTCAGTGCACCTTGTGAATAATCCTCCTCCTCTTCTTTCTTCCTTTCAATTAGCCATCTGTCCTGTGGCCTTCCATTACACTTAAAGTTCAGATTGTTTTTATCTTGGCGTACAAGGTTCCGGCAAGATCTGGTACCTGCTTACTTAATCTGTTCTTTTCACTCAACACCTCTTCCCCGACTCATTTCTTCATTCTAGCTCCCCATTTAAGTTCCTCCTTTCATTATTTCTCAGGTATACTGAACTTGGTTTTTTAGGAAGAGCGTTTGTAGCTTTAATCATATTCTCAAAGGGAGTTTTCTGACCAATCTGTAAATTAACAATCATTGGTTGATTTAAAATAACAAGTGATAAATATGAGAATGAAGTGTCGTGAATTTAAACATTAAACTTGAGAATGGATTCTGAGACAGTTGATTTGGTGGTTCATGGAGCTTAAAATTTTTTTTTTTTTTTTGGCTTCTTTATGGATGGATAGCTGATCATTGCATACAGGGATTATTTTCTCCATTTACTTTCCTTTTAGTTGGCCGTGTCACAGTTCATTATATTTCTTGGGATTGAACTGTCTCAAGTTCCAAACCAACTTACAGAGAGGAATAGGCAAATGAAGACCAAAATGTTGGCAGTATTGGTAGTATGTGTATTATACTGTCTATTAGACATGGGGTCTGAATCACACTGTTGGTTCCAGTTCTACTCTGCCATTAACTAGGTGTGTGACCTTGGCCAAGCTTCTGTGCCTGCATTTCCACGTCTATAAAGGAGTTAGTAACTTCATGAAATTGTGCGGATGAATTTAGTTGATGCATAAATGTGCTCACAGCAATAACTAGCATATGACAAAGCTCAATAAACATTAGCTATTGCTATTGCTGATAAAGTTGATACTGAAACGATGGACTTCTAGTACTACATTTCAGAAATAGGCAGACGTACTCAACATTTGAAAACCTTAGACCTTGTTCTGATGGAGCAAAGCACATTGTGTGATGTTTCCTATAGTCAAGAAGGCTCACAGAAAAAGGGAAGGGGAAAGCAGAGGCTAACTTCTCTCCCACGTTTACTAGTTAATTTTTCCACTTCACTGCTGTGTGTAAGAGAAAGGGAGGAACAGTGGCCAGGAATATTTTTAGGAGTGTGGGAAGGAAATACTCTATTCTTACTTCAACAGCAGCCTTGGGGATTGATGGGAAAAGAAAACTTTTTAGCATTGCTGTTTGATTTTAATCTTAGATGAGGTTGTTTTTATTTATTTTGTTGAGACATATACATATAGATCATGAATACATTTATGCATATGTGGGATATAATGTGCTGATTTTTTTATACAATCTGATATGCTACATCAAACCAATCAACATAGCTTTCCCCTCATTTACTTGATTATTAAGACATTTATGTTCTACACTTGATAGATTGACTTGTACCCTTGCGATATGCTCCATACATAGGTGTGGTCCCGCCCTTTTACCCTCCCTCTATTAAACCTCCCCCCTCCCAAACCCTTCCCACTCCATTTCTCTCCTTTGGGGATTTTTAAAAATAGACTATACCTTACTGGGCTCTATCTATTTCCTGTTGACAGTTCAAGGCTTGTTACTTTCTCCTTTTGTAGGTGCTGCAGGATCATCTTATAAAAGAAACACCTGATACACTCAGTGATCCACAGTAAGTGGTATTATTTCTGTGTGATTCATGGTAAGCATTTGTTTCACTCATGGGTGATCAGAGAGTTAAAAATGTGAAATTTTTATTTATTTTATTTTATTTTTTTGCAGTTTTTTTGGGGGGGGGCACCGCCTTGAGCCACAGGCGCCGCCCTATTTTATTTTTTTGAGAGTCTTACTTTGTTACCCATAGTAGAGTGCTGTGGCGTCATAGCTCATAGCAGCCTCAAACTCTTGGGCTCAAGTAATGCTTTTGCCTCAGCCTCCTGAGTAGCTAGGACTACAGGCGCCTGCCACAACACTCAGCTAGTTTTTGTTTTTAAGAGAGAAGGTCTTGCTCTGGCTCAAAGTGGTCGGCAACCTGTGAGCTCAGGCATTCCAGTCACCTTGACCTCCCAGAGTGTTATGATTACAGATGTGAGCCACCATGCCTGGCCATGAAGTTTTTTTTAAAAAAGGAGGAATTTTAGGCCAGGGGAATGGGTCATGCTTGTAATGCTAGCACTCTAGGAGGCTGAGGCTGGTGGGTTGCTTGAGCTCAAGAGTTTTGAGACCAGCCTGAGTAAGAGCGAGACCTTGTCTTAAAAAAAAGAAAGAAGAATTTTAAATGTAGAGATGAAAATAATTTAATACAATGATATATGCAAGGTGCTGTGTTAAGGGATTTTACTTGCAAATTTTCTTGGTATTTAACTTGTATTATCTGGGAGCTACACATTTAGTTCTTTTGGAGAGTTTTTGGATTTTTAGGAGGATTTTACATTTACTTTTTGATGGCGATAGCAGGAATTATTTTAAGATTTGGCTGAACATAGTTGAAGTACTATGAATAATTTTATTGAAAGAGCAATAAATTGTTTACTTTTAAAATGTGTGATTAAGGGCAGTGCCTGTGACTCAACAAGTAGGGTGCTGGCCCCATATACCGAGGGTGGTGGGTTCAAACCCAGCCCTGGCCAAACAAAAAAATAGCTGGGTGTTGTAGCAGACACCTGTTAGTCCCAGCTACTTGGGAGGCTGAGGCAAGAGAATCACCTAAGCCCAAGAGCTGGAGGTGGCTGTGAGCTGTGACAGCACAGCACTCTACTGAGGGTGACAAAGTGAGACTCTGTCTCTAAAAAAAATAAAAAGTGTGATTAAATTCTTGTGTGTGTGTGTGTGTGTGTGTGTGTGTGTTTCTATTTTGAAGGAGGTAGGGACAGGGGAAATAAATAAAACTAAAGCAACTTTGGTAGATATTTAATGATAAAAATTTAAAATAGAAATGCTAAGTATGTATTTTAAGTTATTCACAATCCTTTTATTTATTTTCTTTTCACCTCAAGAACTGTTCCAGAGGAAGAAAGAGAAGCTAAATTCTACCGAGTTGTAACTTGTTCCTTATTGGCATTAAAGAAATTGATTTGCCTTTTACCTGACAATGAGCTTGATTCTCTGGAGGAGAAATTTAAGTCTCTTTTTTCACAGAATAAATTTTGGAAGTATGGAAAACACACTGTACCTCAGGTATCCCAATCTTTTAAGTCATTTCTATGATTTTTTCCCCCATCTTGTTAATTTGTTTATTGTTTACATTTAAAACTCTGCAGGCACATCTTTGTGGTAAGTCATTCATTTACTAAATTCTCTCTTTTATTAGAATGTTATTCTATTTTCACTTTTTTATTTTTATCTATTGTTGACTCGATGACATTGAACTCATGGCCAATAGCACTAGAACAGGCTCATCTAACACACATTTTCTGTGTAAGGCACATCATGGCCTTTTTGTGCTTAGACATAGTAGATAGTGCTTCAGTGCTACTTCTGGGAGGTCTTTTAAAATACAAAATCCCTAATTAAAAGCACAAAAATTTGAAGAAATACTGTGAAAAGGGTACTTGTTTAACATTATGAGTGCTAAAATAAGACAGAGTTTTCCCTCATGCAACCTAAGCTGCAGGTTGATGACTTAAACGTTTCGCCATTCTGTTCCAGCCCATCAATTGCTGCAAAGGTGTAGTGAGCTTTGATTTGGGGGGTTACAAATAAATTTTAGTAGGTAAATTAGCCTAAATGGAATTCATGAGCATGAGGATTGCCTAACCCTGTTTTTGAAAAGTGTGCTTTTGTATATAAAAATGTGAATTTTTATTTATTTATTTTTACTTTCTTTTTTTTTGAGATGGAGCCTCAAGCTATCTCCCTGGGTAGAGTGCCATGGTATCACAGCTCATAGCAACCTCCAACTCCTGGGCTCAAGCAAGTCTCCTGCCTCAGC